AGCCTCTTTCCCCCTCTGCTGGGTGGATGCAGAGCCATGAGATGAAAGGAGACTGGGCCCGGGATGACTGGCCAAACACCTCCCGGGACAGATCCAGAGGTATAAGTATACCTTTACTGTGTGCTGTCATTATATACTCGGGTCTCGTCACCACAGCTTAGCATCCCTAACTTACAGCAACCCCATAAGGATCAGGAAACTGAAGCCAGAGGTCACACAGCTAAGGAGTGGAGAAGCCAGGTTTTCAACCAGCGTTCTGACTCCAGATCTCGTGATATTAACTCTGAGGCCCAATTCTACGAGGCCCCATCTCCAACAAGTCAGCAGCTCCCCCTCCCAATTCCCCTAAGGTCTTGCAGGTCATCCTTCCTCATCTCCCTCCAGGAAGCAAAGATTCCTATATGGGGAGGACCTCAAACCAATTTCAGAGAACGCAGGGACCCAGCCTCCTTGTAATCCCACGGGGAGACCAACTGTCCGGTCCTCCCAGCCCTCTGGGACTCAACATCGGCCTCTCGCCTCTCTCGTGGCTCAGGACCAAGGACCCCACTCCCACCCTGGGTACCTTGCTGTAGGGCTGGCTGCAGACAATTTTGACGCGGTCCCAGCGCTTCTCTGCTGCTGCCCGGACCAACTTGTCAGGCCCAAAAATGCGAACGCGGTTGGAATTTGAGCCACTGCGACTCTCGGAAGGGGACATGAAAGACGAGGTGACCAGAAGGACCTGGGAAAAGGCACAGAGGATGAGAACCAGGCCTGGCTGGTTTCAGTGACACCTCCTAGGGGCTGGAAGAGGGCAGGGGCCTGAGCAGGGACCAGGCAGTCGCCAGATCCAGCTGTACCTCAACCTGCCTCAGGGCCTCTAGACGCTTCTCATTTCTGGGCCTCCAGTCAGTCCTTCCCTGACACAGGCCCCAGAGGGGTCCTTCTAGTCCCAGATCTGAACCACCCTTCTCTAAATTCTTCCAGAGGCTTCCATATCTGGCCACATGGCAGGAACCCTCAGGACAGGGAGCTTCAGGAACCCTCCCAGCAGAGGATATTCACAATGACTGGCACAATATTCATACACCTTATTGTATTTTTTTTTTTTTTTTTGGCCGTACCACACAGCTTGTGGGATCTTAGTTTCCTGATCGGGGACTGAACCTGTGCCCTTGGCAGTGAAAGCGTGGAGTCCTAACTACTGGACTACCAGGGAATTCCCTCAAACATCTTTTTGAAATGCACAGCTGAGTCAGCAGAAGGGAAGTATGCGAGGCCAGAAATTACCCCTTTTTTTTTTTTTTTTTTTTTTTTTGGCCGTACCACACAGCTTGTGGGATCTTAGTTTCCTGATCGGGGACTGAACCTGTGCCCTTGGCAGTGAAAGCGTGGAGTCCTAACTACTGGACTACCAGGGAATTCCCTCAAACATCTTTTTGAAATGCACAGCTGAGTCAGCAGAAGGGAAGTATGCGAGGCCAGAAATTACAGTGCAGAATCCAAAGAGGTAGGGGAGCTGCACCCATTACTAAGTGACTGTCTCTCAGTTCAAACCCGCCCTCAAAAAACAAACAAACAAAATAAATAAATAATAAAATAAAATAGAAAAAATACAAAAGAAGAAAAAACAAAAAATATTTTTAAAACAGAACAAAACAAAACAAAACACCCACCCTTGGTGGCTCAGCCCTGGGATGCTGGGGACGTTTCTAACCTCCAGCTGCTCCTTGTCAAGCTCTGCCAGCAGGGGGAGCTAGAGAGACAGGCTGGAGGAGGGAGGCGGGACCTGAGCCTTCTTGCAGATCCCCGGAGCAGCAGCTGTTGTTCTTCCCCCAGGGCGGCAGATGAATCCAGTTTGCAGCTTCCCAACACCTGCAGAACTGGCCTCACTGCACCCTCTCAGGGACACACCAGAACCAGCCTGGGAGCTCCCCTTCCTCAGGGTCTGAGTTTCAGCTCCGAGGGCCCCACCTCCAAGCTTCGAAACATCTACCCTTCAGTCATGCCAACCTCTTCTTTTGTTCCTCCAACCCTAAGGGCGGTGACTGCCCCCTGCAGTTGCTTCCGCGTCCTGCCTTAGTCTTCTGGCCTCTCCAGTTCAATACCTCGTTACTAATTCTTTACGTTAATTCTCTCTGTTAAGCTAACTGGTGTGGTTTCAGTCTCCTGGTGGGACCCTGACTGGCACTGATGTTGGTGTTTGCCTCGTTGCTGATTCCAGGTGGCACAGAGCTCGATTTTAAAGGGCTCTAGGTGGTGGAAGCAGGAGAGACCAAGAAAGCAAGCCTGTGCTCCAAGTCAGGAAGAAAGGCATCTTAGGGACCGTGCCACAGAGCAGAGAGCTGGGCCTCTCCAAAGGGCAACACTCTCCGTGGGTAAATTAGGGAGGAATGTGCCTTGTGCGTGAAGAGTCAGTGGGAGGCTTTAGCTCTGGGGGGACAGCAGAGAAAAGCTGAAAAATTCTCTCTGGAGACTCCGAACCGCAGGTCTGTACTCTCAAGGATTTGCAGTAAAAATCCACACTAGTTATCTGTGTGGAAAAACCCAAGGTGAAAATGTGTTAAGTGGTCCCATGTATGTAGTATCACCTGGTGCCGGGGCAAATCCTCTTTGGAGGGACGTACTTCAAACCAGGCCCTCAAAGAATTCCCACAGATACATTCCCCAAAAGCAGAATTAACAACCTCACACACACACACACACACACACACACACACACACACACACGAGGCATAAGGAAACAGGCTGCCATGATTTAGGGTCAGCAGAAACCATAAACTGCAGACTCAGACCCACAAAGACTGCACATATTGACATTATCAAACACACAATATAAAAGTAATTGTGTTTAATAGTCTAAAGAAATAAATGGAGCTATTAACAGTATGACGAAGGAACAAAAACTGACCAGGCAGTTTTGAAAAGCAGTGGAAGAGCTGCGTGCCCAACACTAAGGGATGAACCATGATTGGTCCAAGTGGTCCGATTTCCTCTGCCAGTGGCTGGTCCAAGGATGGGCAATTTGATGTTAAGAGGAAGGCTGCTGGAAGCTTTTGGGAAAGATTTTCCTTCTTCATTAAAGAGAAACAGAGGATGGAAGAAAACCACTGCTTTTCTGCCATTCCACTCCTCCACTTTCTGCTTTGGATGCTACTAGGTGATGGATGGAGCAATAGCAACCATCTTGTAACCATGTGGGCAAAGTCCAAAAGAATCAAGAGGTGCCCAACCAAGCACCCTGGCTTTGTTCAGTTGCCCAATCAACTCTGGGTCTGCCTAATGCTGGACTTCCCTCCTAAGGAAACAATATATATTCTTAGGCAGTAAGCCACCTTGAGTTGGGTGTAATCTGTTACTTAGTCTCTTTTCTAACTGACATGCTGTGAGATTAGAAAACAAAAGCTTTTTGCTGAGAAAAACAGACTGTAACTAGATTATCTCTTGGTGCTCAGCTCTTGATTATGACAAGGAAACAGCAAAGATGACAAAAATTATACAGAAGGGAAGCCAGCTCCCTGGCCTTGACTGCACTTGTTTATAAAAGGGCTGATTCTGAGCCGATGGGAGAGCTGAATTACCATCTAGTGACTAAATGAAGGGGCAGCACAAGCTGTGGTTGGCAGCTAAGGGGGAGCCTCCCTCTGAATATACTCTTCTCCCACTCATTGTGAAGAGAAAACAACTCCAGTTGTTTTATTATCCAATACTGTCTTTAAGGTTCTAGGATTAAACCTTTATTCTCTAGACCGCATTAACCTTGCAAGCTTAGGTTAGAGATCCCCTTCGCAGAATTGGAGGGGTTAAAAAAAAAATGTTGGGACTTCCCTGGTGATCCAGTGGTTAAGACTCCATGCTCCCAAGGCAGGGGGCCCAGGTTTGATCCCTAGTCAGGGAACTAGATCCCACATGTCGCAACTAAGAAGTCCGCATGCCGTAACCAAGACCCAGCGCAGCCAAATAAACAAACAAATAAATAAACAAATATATTTTTTTAATGTTGATGATTTTGTAGAAAATGTCACTAGTTATTAAAATATGTGCCTTTGGCTTCGTTTTCATGGGTGACATCAACATGGACCAGCCCTGCTCGGCCCTTTTTCCTTTTCTTTCTTGACTCTTCCAAGCGTATCTAGTCTCTGGGCAGAAGCCAGACCTTATAAGTCCCAGAGTCTTTAATTCAGTCTTGGCTAGGAGTTATAACAAAACTTCCAGCAGAAGTTTAATTAAAAACCTTGAGAGAATGGGAGACTATTGACATAGGGGTTTTCAGACTCTGAAAAGCTCAAGCCCTAAGCTAACCATTCCACCTTTCTAGGTAGATAAGAATAATAAAGATTCACATGCCCGATTAGATGAAGTTTTAGCTAACAATGCACTTACTCTGTTTCCATAATTATAAAGCAGAATTTTGATCTAAATCTGTTTGCCAAGAAGAACAGAAAACTTTTTTTATAGTCCCAAAGATTGTTGATTTTATTTAAAATTTTAAACAAGGAGGCCATTAGACTGTGACTCTAGTGCCTTAGGTAGCCTAAGTAAACCAACCAAAATCTAAGCCAAAGTTGGTGTACTCAAATCTAAGAAAATGAAATCAACTAATCATGAATAGCCAAGTCACTAGATTTTCCCAAGTAAGGGAACCATTTAAGCTCTAGCCAATTAAATAATTGCTTTGCTTTGCTTCCCTGTTTTCTCTCTAAAAATCTCTGTCCTAGCCCATTGACACAGCACCCCTAATAATTTTTCAGTTTGGGCTGCCTGATTTGAATTGTTTGCTCAAGTAAACTCTTCAAAACATAATGTGCCTTAGTTTGCCTTTTTACAACTTACAGAACTTTTATTTTATTATTATTATTTTTTTGGCCACAACACACGGCTTGTGGGATTTTAGTTCCCCGACCAGGGATGGAATCAGGACCCTCGGCAGTGAGAGCATGGCATCCTAACCACTGGATCTCCAGGGAATTCCCTAGAATATTTAGAATAAGAATGTGTGTTCAAGGAAAACCTCACTGGTTAATATGTACCTTGTAAGGTGGAAAAAGCACTTGACAAAATTCACACACATGCATTTAAAAGACTGGCAATATCAAGTATAAGTAAGGATGGGAAGCAAAAAGAACTCATATACTGCTGAAGGGAATATAAACTGGTACAACCATTTTGAAAAACTGTCCATTTCTAACAAGGTTAAAACATATATCTACCTGAAGACCCTGCAATTCGACTCTTATGTATTTACCTAAAAGAGATCTCTTACACAGAGGCTGGTACAAGAATGTTCACAGCAGCTTTTTTCATAATGTCAGAAAGTGGTGGACTTCCCTGGTGGTGCAGTGGTTAAGAATCTGCCTGCCGGGCTTCCCTGGTGGCGCAGTGGTTGAGAGTCTGCCTGCCGATGCAGGGGTCACGGGTTCGTGCCCCGGTCCGGGAAGATCCCACATGACGCGGAGTGGCTGGGCCCGTGAGCCATGGCCGCTGAGCCTGCGCGTCCGGAGTCTGTGGGACACGGGTTCGAGCCCTGGTCTGGGAAGATCCTACATGCCGTGAAGCAACTAAGCCCGTGCGCCACAACTACTGAGCCTGCGCTCTAGAGCCCACGAGCCACAACTACGGAGCCCATGTGCCACAACTACTAAAGCTTGCGTGCCTAGAGCCTGAGATCCACAACAAGAGAAGCCACCGCAATGAGAAGCCCGCACACCGCAATGAAGAGTAGCCCCCGCTTGCTGCAACTAGAGAAAGCCCGCATGCAGCAACAAAGACCCAATGCAGCCAAAAATAAATAAATAAAATAAATAAATTTATTAAAAAAAAAAAAAGTGGTGGGGAGTTCCCTGGCAGTCCAGTGGTTAGGACTCAGCACCTTCACTGCTGGGGCCTGGGTTCAATCCCTGGTTGGGGAACTAAGATCCTGTAGGCTGCACAGCATGGCCAAAAAAAAAAGCAGCAACAGCCCAGATGCCCGTCAACAAGAGAACGGATGAACAACTTGGGATCTACGCTTACAGTGATACGGCTCAACAATAAGGTGGAACAGACCGCTGACATATATATATGTTAGAACATCGAAAAAACAGTACGTTGAGTAAAGCCAGCCACAAAAAACGAACACATGCTATATAAAATTCCACTTATGTGAAATTCTAGGACAGGCAAGAAAAGAGATCAGTGGTGGCCTGAGCTGAGGGTGGGAGGAGTGACTGCAAAGGAACACGAGGGAACTTTCAGGAAGGCCAGCGATGCCCTACGTCTTGATCTGGGGGACAGTTACGCAGGTGTGTACATCTGTCAAAACGCTGACCTGTGCATTTTGTTATATGCGAAATATACCTCAATTGAAAAAAATTTTTCACTGCAAGAAAACTGATTTGTAGAAAACTGATTTGTTCACTTAAAATTGTAACCTCTCTTTTTCACAGTAGGTTTATTTTTACCCCAAATCATTTTGCTGATTGACCAGCTGGCTCATTATGATCCCACCACTCCGGCTTGAATTCATTCAACTGGTTAAAAAAAATATTGGGCCAATTTTTAAAATTCAGTAAGTCCCCTACATACAAACTTTCAAGTTGCGAACTTTCAAAGATGCGAATGTGCCCCTGTATGCCAGCTGTTGTACTGTACTACTGTACTTTTCAAGGTACTCTACTGGAAGATTAAAAATGTTTTCTTTATTTTCTGTGTTTGTTTTTTATGTATTATTTGTGTGAAAAGTATTATAAACCTATTACAGTACAGTACTATACTATTGTGTTAGTTGGGTACCTAGGCTAACTTTGTTGGACTTATGAACAAACTGGACTTACAAACAGGCTCTCAGAACGGAACTCATTCATACAGTAAGGGACTTACTGTATTTGTAATAGAGCAAAAGGCTCGTAAACATTTGTCACAAATAAAGTAACTAAGAGAGGCACCCCAAGCAATTCGGAATCTCAACTGGCTGCGACATCTCTGAGAAGTTCTGGGACCAGAAGAAAAGGAGTTTTGCTCTCAGGCAGCCACTGAATCATAGAACAAACAGGTGCCTCTGATTGTTCCTGCAACCATGTTGCAATTTCAGCCAAATCCCTGCTGCACACAGTTTATCACCTGGGTCTGCTCTTTGTCTCCGGGAACCCTGGGCTCCTCCGGAGGGCCACCGTCAGCGTGACTCGCCTCCACACTGGCCTGGCGCCTGGGAGGCCTGGGGCCTCGATGGGGGCACCTGGGGCAGGGATCAGCAGGGGGCTTACCTCGTAGTCCTGCTCCCCGGCCCCTCCGGCTGAGCTGCCCACCAGCACCTCCACAAAGGCCGAGCCGTCATTCCCGATGTCCACGCTGTGTATCTGCTCTTCCTTCTCTAACTGCAGGGGAGGGAAAGTGCACTGTCAGTGCCGCTCTGCCCCCCTCCCCCAGCTCTCTGTGGGACCTCGGAAGAGGGGTGACCCCCATACGGGCCCCCTCGTCTCCTTGCAAAGTCAACTCGGTGACAGTGAAGACAGGGCTGAGTGGGGCCACTGCGTCCCCTGCACGCAGCACAGGGTGTAGAGTCAGAGCTCGAAAATATTCACCGACCGACTGCATAAGCTCCCACACCCACTTCCCTGACTCTGCCAGACTCTGCCGGATGGGCCACTAAGCCGCCACCACGGAGCTCTCCTTGGTGGCGCTATGCAGACAAATGGCACATCTGTCACCCCCAACCCCAATCACACGGGGCTCCGGGGAAGCTCCCTGAGGGTAGGGGCCTAGTCTGGTTTGGCTCACCACTGATTTCCGGGTTTGAGTCCCAGCTCTGCCACACGCTAGCTATATGGCCTTGTCAGCTCACCTCTTGGAGCCTCTGTTTCCTCATCTGTAAAGTGGGGATGGTCACCCTATCTAGGATTATGCACATAAATACTACGGCCTCAGGGCCTGGCATGTAGCAGGCACCCTGCCACTGCCAGTCAGGAGGCAATATTAGTCGCTGCTTGATGACTATTTGTCAAAAGAAGGAAAGAGCTGACTGTAGGATGGCTTGCCCCCAAAGTTTCTGCCATTTCTGTCTGACAGTAAAGGCCACGTGGGGGTGGAAGGCAGTTAAGAATGGCTGAAGCAAGTCTCCTGCTTTCCACTCTGGGGATCTTTTATTTGGCTCCTAGAATGACAAGTTACTACGACCCCCAAAGGTACCTAGTCTGCCACCCTACACCAGGATCATCTGATGGTCCGATCTGCCCTGTCACCTCCCAGTCAGGAGGTGGCCCAGACACTGCCTGCTCTCTGCTGCAGGCAGCAACATCCCTCCAGGGAAGGAAGGGGCCTGGGCTTGTGGGGAGGTCAGCCTGACTTCAAATCCAGCCCTGCCACTTCCAAGCAGTGCAGCCCTGGGTGGCGTATAACCTCTCTGAGCTGCAGTTTCCTCACAAGTGAAAGGGGAGGGTCATCATAACAGTCCTCCTTCCGAGGGGAGTCTAGATGACACATACTAACCACCGCAACCCACAGCCATTGCAGTGGACATCTAAGTGCTCAGACGTGGCAGACCCATAATACCTGTATCTTCTCTCCGCCCCACAGCTCTTCGAGACAGGAGCTGTTATAATCTCTATTTCACACATAAGCAAATGGAGGCAGGAAGCGGTTGTGTCACTTCCCTGAGGTCACACAGCTGGCGCCTAGGCAGCCTGGCTGGGCTAAAATAAAGGTGTCAGCAGGACTGCATTCCTTCTAGAAGTTCTGGGGGAGAATCATTTCCTTGTCTTTTTTTATTATTATTAAAGCTTTTTTAAAAAATTAATTTGTTTTATTTAATTTATTTTTGGCTGCGTTGGGTCTTCATTGCGGTGTGCGGGCTTCTCACTGCGGTGGCTTCTCTTGCTGCGGAGCACGGGCTCTAAGCTCGCGGACTCAGTAGTCGTGGCGCATGGGCTCTAGAGCACAGGCTCAGTAGTTGTGGCGCACGGGCTTAGTTGCTCCGCGGCATGTCGGATCTTCCGGGACCAGGGCTCGAACGCGTGTCCCCTGCATTGGCAGGCGGATTCTCAACCACTGCGCCACCAGGGAAACCCGTTTCCTTGTCTTGTTTCCAGCTTCTAGAGGCCCCTGCATTCCTCGGCTGTGGCCCCTTCCTCCATCTTTGGAGCCAGCAATGGCATTGCTCCAACCTCTGCTTCCGTCTTCACATCTCCTCTGACTCTGGTTCTCCTGCCTCCCTCCTTCCCTTATAAGGACCCTTGTGATTACGCTGCACACACACACACCCCGGCCCCAATCATCCAGGCCAATCTCACCATCTCAAGATACTCAGATCATCACATCCACAAAGTCCCTTTTGCCATGTAAAGGACATATTCACAGGTTCTGGGATTAGGATGTGGATATCTACTGAGTGCATTATTCTGTCTACCACACTTAGCTAAGCTCTTCCTGGGCCAGGCATCACTGAATCCTTACAACCACCTTGGGAGAAAGGGTCTGTAACTCTCCCAGCTTTACAGATGGGGAAACTGAGGCTCAGACAGGTAAATAAATGGCTCACATGTCACACACAGCTAGTGACCGGCAGAGAAATTCAGACCCAACTGCCTGACGACAAGCCAACACTGCTTCTCAAGTCCCCAGTTTCAATCCTTGACATAAAAACTCAACAGCTTGGGGATTCCCTGGCGGCCCAGTGGTTCAGACTCCGAGCTTCCGCTGCAGGGAGCAAGGGTTCGATCCCTGGTCGGGGAACTAAGATCCTGCATGCCATGGGGTGTGGCTGAAAAAAAAAAAAAAACTCTGCCTCTCCCACATTTAAAGCATGGGGCCCTCCGTCTAGTAGGATGTATATATTTGTATTTTAATGAATGGTTCTTATTTCATATACGACTATTTCCACTTTAAACACACACATATACTCCCCTGTCTTTCTTTTGATAAACAAAAAATCTCTTATAAAAACATGGAAACAACCTAAATGCCCATCAGTTTATGAATGGATACACACTGTATGATATTCCCTACAATGGAACGGTATTCAGCTGTAAAAAGGAATGAAGCACTGATCTAAGCTACAACATGTAGGAGCCCCGAAAACCTAATGCTAAGTGAAAGGAGCCAGACAAAAGGCCACATATTGTGTGGTCTTATTTATATGAATGTCCAGTATAGACAAATCCATAGAGACAAAAAGTATATCAGTGATACATATACACACTAGTATATATAAAGTAGAGAACCAACAAGGACCTACTGTATTGCACAGAGAACTACACTTCATGTTTTGTAATAACCTATAACGGAAGAGCATCTGAAAAAAATATCTAAAACTAACACAACATTATAAATCAACTATACTGCAATTTTAAAAAATTGGAGGGACTTCCCTGGTGGCACAGTGGTTCATACTCCATGCTCCCAATGCGGGGGGCCTGGGTTTCATCCCTGGTCAGGGAACTAGATCACATGTGCATGCCGCAAGTTCACATGCTGCAACTAAGGAGCCCGCCTCCGCAACTAAGGAGCCCTCGAGCCGCAAGTAAGGAGCTCACTGGCCTCAACTAAGGAGTCCACATGCTGCAAATGGGGAGCCAGCGAGCTGCAACTGAGGAGCCCGCCTGCCACAACTAGGACCCAGCACAACCAAATAAAAATAAATAAATGAATTTTTTTTTTTAAGTTTGAACTAAAATAGTAATATATTTTTTCTTGAATATTTAAAAATTAAAAAGGTTAATATCAAGTGTTGATTTAAATGTACATCAGCAGTGTTAAATGCAGATTAATTCAGTAAATTCACTTGAGTGAAAAAAAATAAAATAAAATAAACAACTGAATTCCCTATTTTAAAAAAAGTACATCGGTGGTTGCCAGCGGCAACCTGGGGAAAGGGGAATAGGGAGTGATTGCTTAATGGTTTTTGGTTTCCTTTTGGGGTGATGAAAATGTTCTGGATTAGACAGCAGTAATGAATGCAGAACATTGTCAATATTCTAAAAGACCCTGAATTGTACACTTTAAATGGTTAAAATAATGACCTTTACATTACGTGAATTTTACCTCAAGAAAAAAGACATGAGTGTTCAGTAAGTATCAGCTGTCAGGAGAAAGGCTTAAGCACAGGATGAGTCATCTGTGGCCCAGGTTTGTGTGCACCTTTCCCAGGAAGACAGAATTCACGACAGTGGAAGAAATGAGACATGGAAGGTTTGCAAAGTCCCAGAGACATCTTATTAAAAAAACTGTTCCAAGACAAATATCATATTTTATTGCTTATATGCCGAGTCTATAAAAAAAAAAGATACAAACGAACTTATCTACAAAACAGAAACAGACTCACAGACTTAGAGAACGAACTTATGGTTACCAGGGGCTAGGGTTGGGAGGAGGCACAAATTGGGAGCTTGGGATCGACATGCACACACTGCTATATTTAAAACAGATAACCAACAAGGACCTACTGTACAGCACAGGAAACTCTGCTCAATACTCTGTAATAACCTAAATGGGAAAAGAATTTGAAAAAGAATAGATACATGTATTTGTATAACTGAATCACTTTGCTGTACACTTGAAACTAACACACCATTGTTAATAAACTCTACTCCAATATAACAACAACAAAAAAACTGTTCCACATCCATGAAAGTATAAGGTAGAACTTGATGCACCGTTAAAAAGAATAAGATAGAACTTGATGCCATGACAATGGATCTCCAAGATACAGTTTCTTGGAAGAAAACAAGGGAGAGGACTGTTTACATACAGTGTACTTTTTAAAAGGCGGGGAGGGGTGGATATATACGCTTGTACATGGACAGAGTGACCCGGGGGCCACATGAGAAACCGCTCACAGTGGCTGCCACAGGAGGGAAGACCCGGTCAGCAGAAATCAGGAGGGCGGGGGTAGGGAATGGAAGCAGGTGGTGCGGAGGATTTTTCCTTTTCACTGTATACCCTCCCTTTTGTGCCTTTTGAGTTTATGCACCATATGCATATAACACCCATTTGATAAGTAAAGTTAATAAAATCTCAATGGTTATCTCCAACAATGGAATACTATGCAGCGGCACCCAGCAAGGCGGATGAAACTAACAAAATGAAACTAACAAACAATGCTGGGAAAGAAAAGAGCAGCCAGAGGTGAAAGTACTATATACCCTGTGATTCCATTTATGAACAATTCAAAGCCAGCCAAAGCTAACCAATGCTGTTAAAAATCTATGCCACGGTTACCCTTGCGGGGGAGCAGTGACAGGAAGGAGCACAAGGGGACGTGGGAGGGGGTGTGTTCTGTTCCTTGATCTGGTTGGCAGTAGACGGGCTGCAGTTTGTGATGATTCACTGGACTGTATGCTTTGCTGTACACACGTGTCATGTCAAAAGAAGGTAAAAAATTTTAAAACATCACAATGGCAAACTGGGTGATGAGAAAACCACTGATAAACAGAAACAGAACGTGTCCACCTTGCTACTGAACATTTTTTCTAAAGAACACACCTCAGCATGGGGGGGGGAGGGGGGCGGGACGGGAGGAGTTACACCTGGGCTGCGTCTCAGCCACTCCCACCGGCCCAGAAGCAGTTAGCAAAGAGGCTGGAACTGCCCTCCTGGGAGCAGGTGATGGGTTGGCGATAGAGCCTCTTTCGGCCACCGCAAACGAAAAAGGCGTGTGGGGCTGTCATGAGCAGAAGGCTGAACCCCAGATGGTAATACAGAGATACTGTGAGATGCTGTTTGAGGGGAAAAAAATACACAGTAGTAGGAAAATCCACAGATCAATCTACGTGTCTTGGTGTCCTGAAGTTTCCTCTTATCACTTGCTTGAAAAGAACCAAAATTAGCATTTGGTGAGCCTGGAGTCACCCTGCATGCTGGCAACTGCCAAATGCCATCAGATTTTCCGAAGGGTCTCCAACGCGAAATAAATTGACAACTGCTGTGACAGTGCTGCCTGCTCCAGCACTTTTCCCCTGCAGTTTATTCTCAACCTGGAAACCTCACAGAAGATTCTGGGAGAGGGGGCTTCCCTGGTGGCTCAGTGGTTAGGAATCCGCCTGCCAATGCAGGGGACACGGGTTCGAGCCCTGGTCCGGGAAGATCCCACATGCCGTGGAGCAACTAAGCCCGCGAGCCACAACTACTGAGCCCGCAAGCCACAACTACTGCGCCTAGAGCCCGTGCTCTGCAACAAGAGAAGCCACCGCAATAAGAAGCCCTCGCGCTGCAATGAAGAGTAGCCCCCGCTCCCCGCAACTAGAGAAAGCCCGCACACAACAACGAGGACCCAACACAGCCAATCAATCAATCAATCAATAAATGAAAGATTCTGTGAGAACCTAAGTCACATTCTGTTCCTCCTCTGCTCAGAGGCCTTCCACGGCTCCCATCTCATGCAGAGTAAATGCTTAAATCCTTACAATGGCTTTTAGGCCTTACGTAGGTTAGGGGTCCTCTACCCCCACCCTATCAGCACTTAGCCCTCTCCCCTGTCAACTCCGCTCCACCCACACTCAGGGCTTGCTACTGTCCCTCCAGCCCACCAGACACCAGCCAGGTACCAGCCAGGCACCGGCCTACCAGGCGCCAGCCTGCCTTGGACTCTGTTTCTTTCCCAGGTACCTGCATAACTCACTCTGCTTGAAAGTTAGCTTCTCAGGAAGGCCTTCCCTAACCCCCTATTTAGAAAAAAACCTCTTGCCACTGCCTCATCTCCCACTGGAGACATTTCTCATTCCTCCTTTTTTCTTTTTTTTAATATTTATTTATTTATTTGGTTGCACTGGGTCTTAGTTGTGGTAGGCTGGCTCCTTACTTGCGGCTCACCAGCTCCTTAGCTGTGGCCCGCGGGCTCCTCAGCCGTGGCATGTGAACTCGTAGTCGCGGCACGCAGGTGAGATCTAGTTCCCTGACCAGGGATCGAACCCAAGCCCCCTGCATTGGGAGCGCAGTCTTAACCACTGTGCCACCAGGGAAGTCCCTCCTCACTTCTCTTAACCATGTAATTTCCTCCCTAGCACTCATCACCTGACATACGTACATTTTACTTATTAATCGGTCAGTCCTTCCTTGCCAACGTAAAATCTCCACAGGACTGACGTACGTTTGTCTTGTGCTGTCCACTGCACTATGCCCCAGTACCTTCAACAGTGCTGGGCCTACAGAAGGCGCTTCTATGAATGAATGAACAAATGAATCCGTCCACTCCCAAGTCTCCAGGGCCTGTCCCTGTGCTGACAACTCCTACAGCCCTATCTCCAGCTCCATGTCCAATCGCTAGCTGTCCCCTAGATGTCCCAAAGTCATAGCAAACCCGGACATCCCAAACGATGTGTCACCTTCTCAAGCTGCCCCTTCTCGAGGTTTCCCACTTTGGTGACAGGTGCAATATCCCCTTTGGTCTCCCAGGGCGGAGAATCCTGTGCCTTGTCTGGCTCCCTCGCTCCCCATATCCTGTCTCTTCTTGTTCCCAGTGCAACTGGGGTGCAGACCCAAATGGGATGTTCCTGATCATCTCCTGACCAGAGAGCCCAGCAGAATCAGCGCCCAGTAATTAACACATGAATCCCTCCCTTTACACAAACACCTGCCTGCTGACAGGGCCCTTTTGCAAACATTACATCACCGGATTTTCACAACAACCCTGGGCTCAGATCACATTATTCCCAATGGGCAGATGAGAAAACAGGTTCAGAGAAAAGAAACCATTTCCCTGAGGTCACAGGGTGAGTAAGAGGGACATGTGGGGTCTTAAATCCATGTCCCAAGACTAACTAAAAAAAACATTGGCTCTAGGCAAGTTGTATAACCTCTCTGGGCCTAGTTTCTTCCTTGTAAAAGGTGATAATAAAAGACTCGAGGTCATGGGGTTTTTATGAGGATTCAATAAATTAACCCATGTGAGGTGTTTAGAATGGTGACTGGCAGTTGTCATTTTTTTTCCTTTTAGTTCCCTGACCAGGGATTGAACCCGGGCCCTCGGAGCATGGAGTCCTAACCACTGGACCGCCAGGGAATTCCCAGGCAGCTGTAATGTTGAATAAATGTTAGCTCTCATTATTCTTAGTATGTTAGGGACCTAGGAGATATTTAAATTCCTAAAATCATTCAGAAAATCTTGTGGGTCTGTGTATTTTTCCTGGGAAGAGAATTCTCAGATTCTCCCTAATTCTCAAAAGGTTCTGTGAACCAAAACTTTTTCAGAACCACTGGGCAAGTGAGAGACAATAATATGTTTTAACACAATCAGGTAAGCCTTGCCCCCAACATCCCTCCCCAAACACCCGCTACATTCAGAAGGGAGGAATGTGGCCAAAATCAAGAAAGCCAAGGTATGAACACAAAGCGGCAGGACAACGTGGCTAAGAACACCCACAATAGGTTCAGGTCTTAGCACCGCCATTTATTAGTGGTGATAACAGCCCCTACATTATCCAACTCCATGAAGAGTCAGGTCACACAGGTAGAACACGCAGGCCGGCGGCACCAGGCAAAGAGCAGATGCCTGGCAACACACCTGGCTTGCCTCTCCCACCAGTTTCTTATGCCAGAGAGGAACAGCCTGTTTGGAATTCTGTAACCATCTTGGGTGTCAAACTACCCTTTCCTCTTTGCCTCTCTCCAACTTCACAGAGAACGTACCAAAGCGCTCAGCATTCCAGACATGGTAGCTTAGACTGGCCACTTCACTTCACCCTGCCCTATGCCCCAGTTTCCTCATCTTTAAAATGAGGTGGATTGTGGGACTTCCCTGGTGGTCCAGTGGTTAAGACTCCACACTCCCAATGCAGAGAGCCCGGGTTGGATCCCTGGTCAGGGAACTAGATCCCGCATGCCACAACTAAGACCAGCGCAGCCAAATAAATAAATATTTCTTTAAATAAAAAAAATAAAATGAGGTTGATTGGCTTAGACGATAATGAGACAACTTCCAGCCCTGAGCCCAGAGACTTTAGAAGGCAGGATACATGGCAATGATTCACTCTGTTCCAGCTGAGAAAATTGAGGCCCCGAAAGTAGACAGCAACCTACCTGGGCCACACACTGATACACCCCTGGCCTAGTGCCTGGATCACCTTTCTCCCCTGCTAAGGGGCACAGGGATCACACTGCTCATTTTCCAGGTGAGGAAGCTGAGGCCCAAAGGGAAAGTGCCTCAACTCACTGCCAGTTAACTCCAGAGCACAGTCGGGACCCTGGGTCTCCAGACTCCTATTAAGGAGATGGGGGGAGGGCAGAATCACCTGGAGCACCACAGAGATGGTCTTCTCGCCCGCCTTGGCTGCCCGCCACTTTCGGTAAGTGTCTGCCTTGAGAAGGTTTTCTGCACAGTAGGTCTGGAGAGCAGAGTGGGAAAGGGCAAGTTAGGGTACAGAGATGAGAGCTAGGTCCCCAGCTCTCAGATTACTCCATTGAGATCCCCCTGATTTAAGTTTCACTATTAATCCCCACACACTCTGCCTTGAGTCCCGTACAACATTTCCCCCTGGAAATTCACCCCTGGGCCTTCCAAGGAAGCTCCCCTATCCCTCCTTTTCTCTCTGGAAGTTCCTCTATTCCACATCTCTCTAGAATTCCCTTATGGCCTCTGAGAAATTCTCCCACGACCCTCCTTAAGAACTCCACGAAGTCCCTTTTGTGAAAGGAAGATCAAAATGAAGTCGGTATTGCTAAAAGCGCTCTCTAAAATGGAGCTGGGTGGCCACTGAGGAATTGGGACCATGCAGTCTCAGCCTGGATGGAATGTGACCTTTTGACCACTTATTGCATTAAACACAGGCAACCAGAACATCTACCAGAAACTCGAGATACTTATCGGACACTTACCGTAAAAGTAACTCATGACGGCCTATTTATGGGACCTTTACCCTAAAGTAACTCATGACACCCTATTCTTTAAAGCCAAATATTTCTTGTATCAGAGGCAATTACAACTCTCTCTAGACAACTTTAACCACCTGGTGACCTTTGTCCTCATAAGCCCCTGATTCTCTCTCCCA